CCCCACACACCTTCAGCCTCTGGGCCTGTGGCCACCATGTAGGTAGGACCGAGCCCTTTCACAGTGATCCCTAGGTTGGCTTACGTACTCTCTCTGGACCTTTCCAACACAGAGGTTCCCATCAGCGTTTAAATCAAAGCCAAGAGCCTCCAGTGTCTTCATTCCCAACAGTCGCAACCTGCTACCCATCTTCGGACAGGCAGGGGCAGCTGGACGTAATGGGTGAGCCAGGAAAGTTGCCGGGAGGCCCCAGCTGACCCCTTAGTGAACCAGAAGGAAGCTGGTGCCCTCCTGACCTTATGTTTAAGGTGGATCCCTGGGCCAGGAGGAAAGTGGGAAGCAGCAGGCGTGAGCAGGGCCGGTCGCTCAGGAGCGCAGCAGGCCTTTCTGAGCCACGCTGACACTGCCATAACCCCATTCAGGGCAATTCATCACCCACTGCTGACCACAGGACGGGCGCCAGGCTATGGGCTCCGCAGGCGCCAGAGCCAGCAAAAGTGGAGGGACTGGGGCCTGCCCTCAGGGCGCCCTGAGGCTGCAGAAACAACAGCTGGGCCTGAGAAACTCCACCAGGGTGAGGTGGCAGGAGTGCCAGGTTTTGGAGTTGATTCTGATTTGGGGATAAATATGGGGAAGGGGACTCCCAGGAGCCCTGGCAGTGTAGCTGGTTCCCAGAGACCTGGTGTACCTGCTGTGGATTCTGTACTAACTATAAGCCCCTGTAGGGGGCAGCTCCAGTTTTACTCTCTTTTCCCATTGATCCATTATTTTCAGTAATTTCACGGAATACCTGAGCTCCTTTGTTAGTAGCTCCAGATTCCCCGAGGAAGGAGCAGACATGGTTCTTGCCCTCCTGGACGCGATATGCTCACAAAGGAAGTGGACAATAAATAAACCAGCAAACAAAAGAGCAAGACTATGTCCCCTGGTGATAAGTGCACGTGAGAAAATCAAACAGGCCTGTAATGCTGAATACCTGGGGGCTACACTCAGCAAGGTGGCCAGGCAGGCTCCTCTGAGGAGAGGACATTGGACTTTGCAAGGACCAGCCAGCAGTAACCAGGGAAAAGGGCACCCCAAGCAGAGGGAACAGCAGGTGTAGAACCCTGAGACAGGACAGAATGTTCAAGAGATGGGAAGAAGGGGTTGAAGGGAGAAAAGGGGGAGAGGGGTGCTTCGGCTGCCCTAGCTCACCCAGACTCCCCTCCCCCAGCAAAAACTACTCCCCACACCCACCCCAAACCCGAGCCACAGGGAGACTGTTTTATAAACAATTTGGAAACATTTTGTTTTCCAGTGAACCACCCGGCCTCCCCGCCCACCGCCACCCAAGAAAGCTTGGCAAGGTTTCTAGATCAAAGTTCTTATTGGACTGGCCATTTATTGACCGTTTCCCCCCTTCAAGATGTTCTTTAATGGTCCCCACTGTCCCATTTACTCATTTTCTTCTGGACACCCCCGCCAGACGCCCCCACGGGTCTCGATGGGCAAATAGATGACGCC